ATATCGACATTTAAAGCACGTTTTAATCAGTTTATTTGATATATACAATATTATTTAAAAAATGTAACCACTTAAAAATATACTAATAAAAAATATGTTAATTTTACACATATATTTAAAATTTTTATAAAGAATAGGTAAAAATTATACCTTTACAATGTTTTAAAATATTTTTTGTTCAAAAATGTGATCATTAAACTTTAATATTCGATATTAAATCATTTGTTTTTATAATTTTAAACAATATATATAAAAGATTCTTGTATATTTAAATACCAAATTAGTTCAATTTTTTCTCTTAAATCGTTTTTCTTTAACTTATCAATTTTTTGATAATTTAGTTTTAGAATAAACATATACAGCTTCAATTTGATTAAGATCTAAACTCCGTAAAAACCAATTTAAAACATTAATTTTTTATAAATTCAACCAGGTACGAGTTTGGAGGTGTGTTTTGATCATTATAATGTGTAAAAATATATTTATCCAATTTAATTTCTTCGGCTAAAGTATTTAAATTCTGTATTTAAACTTGTTTATACACTCAAAATATTGTTGTTAATACGGCATCAATAAGTTTTCAAATATTTTCAGATGATTTATAAAGAATATTATGCTTCTTCATTTATGATTAACTATACCCAGTGTATTTTTAAATTTACACCTTTCACCTTGTGACTAACGAACCTTTTTAATATCATCAAATATAAAAAGGTTTAACTTACACTCATCAGAAAATATGATGGGATCTAATGTATCATTTGAAATACCTTAAACTTTTTAGCAAGATTTTTTCTTTTAACTATGTTTGAAAGTTTTAATGGAGTTATTTGAGTTAGTTTTTAGTTATTAATCTAAATTTTCTGGTGTTTAATAAGTTTTCTAATAATCTTTTACTAATATTATACACAATAGTCTTTATTGTGTTTTTTTTTCAACTACCCATTGACTTAATCTTTTCTTTAAATCATCAAAATTAATACTTTAGTGTCAAAATTTAATTTTTTAATCATTGATATACAAAAACAACGTTTTTATGTCATTATGGAGGGAAAATAATCACATTTTTTACTACAAAATTTATATGTTTTTTTTGTAAACCCTCTGTAAAAAAAATTTTTTTATTTATTCTTTACAAATTTTTTGTAATTTTTTAAATAATGATGTAAAATTAACATGTTATTTATTTAATATATTTTTTTAATGGACATATTTTTTTAAACAATACTGTATTTATAAATAAATTTATATTAAAAAGAAAAATTATTAAAAAAAGTTTACGCGAACAAGGAACAAAACTAATATAAGAAATGTTATGTATCAATGATAAGGATCAATAAATTTATAAATTAATTTGTTTTTTTCATATGCAGCGTCTTTTATAACGCAACCAAGACATAACAATAAATGTTTTTAAAATCCTCACTATTGTTATTATTCATGTTACTAACTTAAATTTTTAAATATTTACACTGATCATAATACTTAAAAAAAACTCTTACAACTTCATTGTTTCTATTATAGATAGATTAACCTTATTATCTCTTATTTCTTCCTTTGATTTTTAAGTTGATGCTAATATCGGTATACCTTAATAATAAAATACAAATAATACATTTAACCTTAAAATTACTTAAAACATAAAAATATATCTGCTTAAGGGAATAAACAGAAGTATCTTAAATGCAACTTATCTTTCATTTATACTGATAAGATGTTATAAAAAACTTTTTCGCTTTAAATCTATATTTATTTCTATACTTTAATATATTTATACAAAATTCAAAAAAAAATAATTTATTTGTATTATGTTTATCTTTATTCATTATTTTTTAATTAATGGATTAAAAAACTTTTTTTATAAAATTTAACTAATTGATAAATTTATTTATTTATTTTTTTAAAATGGAATTGATAATATTTTTACATCATATTACAAAAAAATTGTTATATTTTTTTCTTTTATATTAATCTTTTAGAATATTTATAAATTGAAATTGAAAACTAGTACGTTTAAAAAGTATATAAGAAAATTTTTTTGTTGTGAAAAGGTAAGAGTAGTTTAGTGTGATAAGCAAAAAATTTGGGAAAGGTTTTAAATACAAACAGCAAAGTTATTTTTGATAAAAGAATTAAAATGGCTATGTTAAAATTCACTGTAATAGTAAAGAAGTATTAGTTACTTTCTATATAGATCTTAACTTTACCCACTGTTCTGTAATTAAGGGTAGAAATTAGAAATAGGTAGAAATTTCTCAATCAAATAACGATTATTTAACTAAAGATAGGTAGAATTATTATATGGTTGAGGTTTAAGCTGGTTTTAAAAACAAGATGATATAAAATCTAATGTTCCTGTTGTATAAAAGAATTTTGTTGTGAATGAATGTTTAATTAATGTTGAAGAATTTTATCTTTTTAAGTTCTAAATATCAGTTTTAACCAATGTCGTTTGTCAAATTTAATCAAATTTTAAATTATTTAAGAATTGATAAAGTAGATTTTTATATTAAAAAAGAATTTTACTTTCTCTTCTTTAATAATCAAAGAAAATATGTAAAAAACTATTTATTAAAGAACTTTGTCGTGCCCTGCACGGCTGTGTTGGTTACTTAAAAATAAATACTTATGTTTAAACATATTTTATTTAGGGAAATTGTTTTTATAGTAATTCTGAAACTTAGTTTTAGAAATCAAAATCATATTTATTAGAGGGTAAGATAAACTTAAATTCATATAATGATGTATGATGAGCATGGTTTAGCGAAACTTACATCATTTGAAGATTTTAAAAAATTAAAAGTTTTCTAATTTTTATGGATATTTTATAGTAAATTTTTTACTGTTTTTAAAACTCAAACAAATTTATATAGAATATTATCATTTTAGATTTATTTTCAAATTTTTTCAAGTAATTTAAAGAAAAAAAAACTTTTGATTTTATGTAAAAATATTATTTCTTTTATAAGATAAAATTTTATATGTTTATAAAAATTATGCAGATTTATCTATTAATTCAAGTATTCTATGTTTTAAATTAAGATCTAAATTTTTCACTAATTTTAATGAAAGATAATGAATTAATTTACAACAGGTGTTTGTATAAGTTAAATTTTGATTTAATAATACAGAAGTAAATCTAATTAAGAAAAAATCTACTACAGATATTATTAACTTTAGTGAGATTAAATAAATGTTTTTCAGTGATAATAATAATGATTTAAACGAAGTATAAATAATAACAATATTTTTAAGGGTTTGATATAAATGCCAGTGTTTTAGTTGACATTAACAATTTAAATGTATTTTGTTTTATTTATATTTATGATTTATTTCTTTTAAAAACAAATTATACATTCAAATCAATTAATTCAAATATGATTTTAAAACACAATTACATTCAATTTCAAATAAATTTCACTTTACTAATCAATAAAGATAAAATTAAAAGGATGATTACTCAGATTGCAGAAAAAAACACAAACATTTACCTTCAAATAATAAGTATTTGAAATACATATTTAAACATTAATATATCTTACTTGATTTAAAAATTTTTAAATAAAGCAATTTGTTTTTAGTTTATAAAAAAGAAGTCAAAATATATCAAAAGAGAAATTTTTTAAAATAATTAAATAAAATTTTTTAACATGAATAAAAAACTATTTACGGTAAATATTATAACTACTATTAGATATACAAACAAGTTGATTCATCTCATTTATATAATACTTTCTTTTATTTCCGATTATTTAATTTTATAAATAAAAAATATATCAATCTAATTTGATAGGTTTTAACCACTATTATAGAAATTATATAAGTAAAATAAAACATAATATAAATAACATAATATAAGTATTTATTTTTAAAATAAAAATTAGAAATCAAATATTAAATTGAAAAAACATTTTATAATTTTAACTCCATGAATACCAAAGTTAACCGAACAAAGGACAATTGTTATAAAAAATTTATTGCATCTTATGTGATAATCACACTACTGTTATTAATAATTATAATAGGAGTATTATTGAACAATCAATTTAATAAAAAGAACATTGGAATTGAAGGAAATTTTTTTGAGATTAGTGATAATGATGATTTACAAACTATTCTTAATAAAATGGATATTAAATATAAAAATATAGATGAAAGAATAAAGATTTTAAGAAAGAACTGGAATGAATTTAATGAAAATGAAGAAAAGAAGCTAATTAACGATAAAGATTATAAAGAAAGCAAGGAAAATAAAAATATTTTAAAGGAGAATTTAGATAATTTTATAAATGAATATTTGGTACTAAAGCATGAAAAAGAA